CTGCTGAAATAAAAGCTACCCCAGTGTAAAAGTGGCACACGACCAGACTCTGATCTCCAGCTGTTATTATGCATATATTTTAAAAGGCCCCAAACATCTCCAGGAGTGCCAGCAGCTGCGTACTGATCAGACGGCTGGGGAAGGAGCGTGTTACTGCTTTGGCTTCAGATGGTGCATTGTAGGAGAAAAGAAACAATAACCGTAGGAAAAAAGGACAATATATGTTGCCAGGCGTTTAAAGCGGCAACTCATGCACACTAAATCAAACATTGAGGATATGCTTTAATTTCACCGGGCAGGAAAAAATGATCTAAGGTTTCTTAACGACTCATTATGTGTTCTGTGTAGGTCCGAGCTAGTGCGATTGCTCAGGATGCTGATCAGAACTACGACTACGCCAGTAACAGTGTGGTGCTTCACCTGGAGCCAGGAGATGAGGTTTACATTAAATTAGATGGAGGAAAAGCACATGGAGGAAACAACAACAAATACAGCACGTTTTCTGGATTTATTATTTATGCTGACTGATGACGAGTACAAGACCCACCAAACGAGACCAGAAATGAAGCTTGCCCTCTAAGCAATGGATTTGCGTGGCAGAAGTCAATGAAATAAGCACCCCAGCAGAGCGTGACCACCGAACACCTCAGTGATGGGGGGGGGGAAAGTCAAATGCTACCTGAGGCACATCTGTACAACACAGAGAAACCTTATGTTAAAAAAATTACAAACCAAGTTAAACAGATGCGTGAGCCAGTACCGCCAAAGCAAATACTTCCTCATTGTTAGTGTCCATGTGAATGAAGTCCTACGTAGATCAAATTTTTATAGGAAAAAAAAAATAGAAAAAAACACCTAAGGACGCTGAGTTATTTCTTCAGTGTATATGATACTTTGATGTGTTATGATCTTGCTGCTTTATCCATACTTCAGCTTTGGTTCTTGTGACTTACTTGCTAACAATGATGCTTGGAGCCCACCCAGTGTGGTGAGGAATGATTTTACAATAAAAGGAAGAGGTAATCAAAATATGCTTTCTCTCTCCAAAGGAATTGTTTGCCTTGCACTTTTCTTATCCTTCCACTTAAAACTAGAAACTAATTAGCTTCAAGCCTTAACTCAATGTTCCTGCTTTGTAGGTTTACATTAGACTTTTAACAAAATCCAGTGGAGTTGTTTTAGTGTTTTGTTTTCCCTTTAGCTGTGTTATAAAAGAAACAGAGTAGCAGAACCACTTTTGTTTTCTGAAAAATAAAACATCTGACAAGCTATTCTGTTGGACCAAATCCCCAATTCCACCACAGGCAATGGCAAAATTCCCATTGATATTAGCGGGAACAGGATTTGGCTTTTAATTTGTAAACATGTAAATATATATTTAGACAATTATTACAGGCCTATCCTTGATGGTTAGTTGTGTAAATATGTAGGAAGCCTGGCATCCACATCCTCAGACTAAGGTAGAGTGTTTTCTTTGCAGCAATTAGTCTCCATTAGTCTTTTAGTACTTAGTCTGTACTTGGGTACTATTTTTAATAAAATAGTTATTACTTGACATACTGCAGTTGTTCAACTAGAATTTCATAGGAATGTAATGGGTCAAACCCTTATTTGTCTTGGGTGTCTTGCCTCACTGAAGTTAGTGGGACACTCATTCCCACAGGGGAAGAGTGGGCTGTCTCACACGTGAGGAAACGCTGCCACACGGACCCTTGCCATGGTAGCCAGCTACCAGTCTGGAGTAAGGTGTGCCTGTGAAACGGACACAGAGAAGCACAGTACCAAAAATGCTAACACATATGCAAAGAAAGAAGCAGATATTTACATGCAAAAAAAAGTGTGTATTAGAACCTATTTTTCTCATTCATATAGATCTAGATATAGATACAGATATATAAAGTCTAAAAGAAGTTTAATCCATATAAAGGATTAATGGCTTGGAGAATTAAACTGAACACAGGTACTATGAGTTATGTAGTTATAAAAATGCTTTAAAATCAGTCATACCAGTAATGTCCACAGAATATTTTTATTCAGAAGGTTGTTTTATTATTTGTTTTGGTTTTAGGAGGGCAGTCTGTCTATTTCTCTCAGGTTAAAATTTGGCAGATTTCATTCTAAACAAATTTTAGCAAGATCATTAACTAGTTCCTTAGCACAGTTTAGTTATGTTAGTTATTTTTGACATTTTGGCAAAATCAAGGTAACCTCTCTATGAATTGCTGAAGAGTAATAGAGGCTACCCCCAGCTTTCCTATTTCATGTACTTTGCCGCAAGCAACCTTGTCTAATGTACTAAGGGTACAAACTCAGATTATCTGCGTGACGTGTCAAAGGCATCTGCCAAGGTGACAAAAACGCTCTTCAGTGCTGGCTGCTCAGTAGAAGCCTGATGAAAGTTTTAAGAACCTCTCTCAAAATCCCATTTGAATGAGTGCAGCTTTTCTTAAACAAAACATCTTGCTCTCTCCATTTTGAATCATCCGACTCAAAATCAGTGCCGAGTTGGTCTGGGCTGACTGGGAGGACTGCCAGTCTAACTCATCTAGGGTTTATAAAGGGACATTGTGCTGCCACATGCTTGTGTATTATCTCACCACAACGGCTAATGCTTCTTCTTTATAACAAAGTGCCAATCTATATCCATATATCCGTACGTCGTAGTGATTGCTCCGGGTTTTTCTCCCACAAGGGAATGTATTTTAGGAACAGGTGTGTTCATGTCTGTTCGTTCCACTGTTGCTTTTGTTGGTTAGTGCACTCACAACAGCAGTGGAGCCACAGGTTTTCTACACAGTGTCCAACAGTAGTGAACCAAGGGAGAGATCATTTACAACTAGCAATGTATATTTGCTAAGGTATCTGTTGGAAAAGCTCAGTACTACAGTACGGATACAGTCAAATTTGAAGAATCTTTTGAAATCAGGGTATCAGTGCTAAGAGATAACAGCATTTTTTGGATAAATCACCTGCCCTGGTCAAACTTAGACAAGAGCAAAGAAGACACTGTATGTGAAAAACACATATAAGGCAAATATTTCTTCCTTTTTCATCATATCTTGATATACTGATTTGTAAAGACTTATATCACAACCTTTGTTATAACTATTACAACTCATTAAAACTGTATTATGTAATATATTTTGACTTTTGGTGTTGCATCCTTACAAAAAGAAGCTGGTCAGCACGAAGTTTCACGTGATCACTGTGAAATTCCAAAAGTTCAGGATAAAAAATAATGTGATTAAAAAAAGACACTCATTAATAATCCTGCACATAGTTTAGAGGTCATCAAATTGCTTTATTCAAAATAATATTTTTCCATGTATTTTTTACACTTTCAGTTAAAAATAAGTACATTTTAAAACTAGAAACAATATCTTTTTATAATTATTTGAGATTACTTTTGCCTTCTGCTGTGTACGGAAGCTACTTAAAGGTCCCAGACATTTTATCAAGCATTATTTAAAGAATACAAGGATAATCAGAAGACTGTCAATATTTCAAGGATTAAAATCAACCCCTTGAGAAGGGGTATTTAACTGAAAACAGTAATTTCCTTCAAAGTCCAGATGATGCATCTCAAAACATATTTTTGTGTAACATTTACTAATATTAGGTTACTCTTTAGAATCAATTATATTAAAATGTCAATTGAAATGATTTTGCAGCTAGCTCACATCCAGTAAATCATTCATGAATAGGCTTTTAGAAGGGAGAAAATGCAGAAAGAATACATAGTTTTCTTCTAATTAAAAAGTCATAATCAGTTTGTTTGCATCTAATTAATAACTTCCAGTTTCTCTAAAAAGCACCAAGTTCTAAAATGACCGCTCTCCCAGAACAAACCTGAATTTTATCAAGCTTCTCTATTAAATAGGAATATTTATTCATTTTTCCTATATAAAAGTCAACCACCGCCTTGGATTTGCTAGGAGTATTTTGTAAATTTTATCTTAGGATATGCCTCTAATTAGCATTTTGGGAAGTCTATTTTTAAGGATATGTGAATATCCATGACCTCCATATTTCGTCAACCTATTCTTCGTGTGCACATCATGAGCAATCATAATTCTGTCTTCATAGCCTTCATCCATCAGCACACGAATCCTGCAAAGGTAAAAAAGGAGCCCTGTCAGTGCAAGGTTCTCGCTGTGCAGCAGCACAGAACTAAACAGGTTTCACATTTCTTTACATTACTGTACTGCAGGACAGGATTATAACCAAACCCACTTATTTTTAGGTACTCAGAAGACATATTCCTTATATTTAATTGAAATTACAACACATATTAAATGAAAAAAGTCCACCTCTGTAATACATACCACAACACATCTCAAAGTGAAGGAGGAGAACTTCTTCCAGCTTGCACATGACTATGCATTCCCTGTCCCATTAAGTCCACAGAAGAACTCAAGAGCATCAGCATCACCAAGCATGGGGGACAGGTTTTATATACACCACTGATAATTTCCTACATAAACTCCTCCTCAGCAGCTTATTTCTGGCTGCTGTCAGAAAGCTGGTCCCATTACATTTCACCTGTGTGTGACAGGTGCTTTAAGAAGCCTGGCTCAATTACACAAACACTTCCACATCTTTAGCTAATTCCAGTTTTGCAAATCACGTTAATAAAAAATGGAAGTCGTCAGCATCATATTCCATATAGTTAAGTTACCATCCAAACACGTTTCAGAGATGTTTGATAAAGAAGATGAGTAAGATGGGCATTGCACAGTGCTACCATGTGGCAATAAACTGCAGCACTTACGTGGCAGAGGTGAACAGACCAGAACTGGACAGTGGTGGTTCCTCATGAAGACACCCAATTCCAACATCTGCCAATGCTGTGAAATTCTAATCTTCCTTCCTGACTGTACTTTGATCAGCAAGAAAGCAAATACTAGTTGTATAAGTAACTACACTGTATCTGAAAGCCCTGGCTGTCAGGTTTCATTGTAACTAGTCATGAGGAGATACATGTAGCTGGATCAAATCAATATGGGCCCAGGAAGAAGGCAAACATGGTAAGATTTGGTAATATGTTAGCATCTTTCAAAAAAACCACCACAAATAGTGCCACAGAGGCCAGAACACTACGTACACTGTTGTATTACATCACAATTATCTTCTCCAGCCTGAAATACAGACAGAATGACACTGGAGGGACGAAGTTCTCTGCTGACCAAACACCTTCTTAGAATCATCTCCTTTCATGTTTGGGCTAATTTCATGGCATGGGGAGGCATATGGTTGGTCCTTTACAGTTTGTATTCATTGCTGCTTTTTGCTCATTCCTGTTACTACCTGCTCCTGTCTCAAAGAAAAACTGTCAGTTTTTCACTTGCATTGGCAGTAGATTGCAACAAAACTGCCTAAGAACACACACAGCTGAATCGTGTTTGAGTACGTATGGCACGACTACAGAAGCTTATTTTTTGATAGACGAGACCTGAAAGTTTATTTTCCATCTAGTGTTGCCATCAGCACATTTAAAGGTCCATCAGGGATTGTATCTTTCTCACTAAGGAGAACAAAGGAACTGTTTGTGAGTCTGGAAGGAAAAAAGACACAGGCAGGATGGCAGCCCACCCTTCACAAGCAGGCCACTTTGCTGCATGAGAACATGGTGGACAAACAGCAGAGGGGAATCACATCCCTGGACAGAGTGGGAGGAGTGAGATGCCCACCTCCAGCTGCTCCTACCTGTCTCAGACAATTTCTGCAAGGAATGCATCTCCCCGGCAACCCCCGGTGTTCACCCAGCACACCGGATCTGCCGCACAGCTGGGCTGAGACAGCGCCTGCTGGTCA